AAGGAGAGATGGGGGGGGGTCTTGATCAGGGGGTGGAGGGATAGGATGAAGGGGAATGGTTTTAAGCTGAAACAGGGTAGATCTAGATTAGCTATGAGGAAGAAACGTTTTCCTGTGGGGGTGGTGAGGCAGTGGCCCAGGTTGCCCAGAGAAGCTGTGGATGCCCCATCCCTGGAGGGGTTCAAGGCCAGGCTGGATGAGGCTTTGCGCAACGTGGGCTAGTGGGAGGTGTCCCTGCCTATGGCGAGGGGGTGGAACTGGATGAGATTTAAGCTCCCTTCCAACTCAAACCATTCTGTGAGTCTATGTGTCCCAACTGCTCTGAGCCAGGAAACAGCTCTTGGCCCACACGAACCAGAGGCTGCTACCGCAACGCCAAAGGAGGAGCTGGTGCAGAAAACACTGTCCAGCTCCCTGTCTCCACTTCAAAGAGGGGCTCACTGGTGGTCAAGCCTTGCTGAGAACCTCTTCCCCAACAAGGAAGAGCAAACCCAACTCTTGTGGAAGAGGAGGAAATACGGCTTGAAAGGCAGGACACCTCAGCCCAGCAGGTTTGGGAGGTCTGAGGACTGCCCAGTCCAAGACCAAATCCAGGGCCACCCAGGAGACCCCACCCATGGCTGTCCCAAAGTACACAGCTCAAGGCAGATGTCTCTTCCGGTGCCGTGGAAATCAGAGAGACCCCGACATGGGTGAGCTCCCCTTGCCGGGAGGGATCAGTGCAGAGCTGCCCAGCGCGCCCGGCACAGATGGTGTCTCTAAATAGATTGGGGAGTGTTTATCTCGTGGACAAGTTTAGGTTTCTAGAGCAGAGAAAACAGATGCTTTTGGGGAGTGTTTTTGAAGCTAGTTTATCAGAAAGGGTTTGAATCACAAATGAATGTGCTCTACAAATAATTTACTAGGAAATAAATGTCCCCAGCACCCCCATCTCGTCAGGTGCTAAAGCTGGTGCTTTTTGGTCCCAGAAAATGAATCCACATATTTGTCTGGATTTCACTTGAAAGCAATGAGGAAAGCATCTTTGAGGTCAAAGCCATCATCCTATGGATGTCAACACTGAGCACTCAAAACTCCTGAGTCAAAACCCATTCCTTCCCCCAAATTACAAGGTTTCCCAAGAAAAATAACACTTGCTTTCTTGTGGATTTCTGCAACTTTCCGACTCTTATTTCCCTGTCTCAAAGGACAAAAAAACCACTAACTTCAGCAAACACAGCAAGAAAAGTGCTTACAGCTAAACAAGGCTTTGCAAATCCCTCCTTAAGCAAAGACCAGATGTCACAAGATCACCGCAAGGCTGTAAGCAGTGGCATCACTGGGTAATGTCTCTGAACAAAGCATTGAAGAAAGCAGCCCCCCCTCTCCGACAGTCCACTGTGCTCTCTGAAGTTCCTATTTTGACCCAAAAACAGTCCAGGAAATTTGATCTGATCAATTGCTTCAAGATCTCCATCCGCTGGGATGGAAGAAATTCAAGAAAATATGTTCCAGGTCATTCTTCTGTCACAGGGCTAATGGGGTCCAGCTCTAAGCCCAGTGGTGGGCCAGGGGCCAAGAGGATTCAGCTATGAGCCTAGTGGTGGACCAAGAGGGTCCAGCTCCAAGCCCAGTGGTGGGCCAAGGGTCTCTGCTGATTGCAACACCCTCCCTGGACCCCCTGCAATGCGGTGAGGGTGGCTGTGTCAAGTCGGTATCTGGGAGGCGATGATACTCACCCGTGGCACAGAGAGGTCCCTCTTCCCCCGAGGTGTCAGCACCTTGTGCGGTTTCACCGTCTCATACTTCTCGACATGGGTGAGCTTCTCTTCCAGCCTGGCAGTGGCACCTGGGAAAAGTCAAAAGGCTTTGAACTGGGACACCCAGAAACAACTCAGTCAGGGGAAAATGGAGGCAGCCAACATGAAGGCGCAGGGAAGAGCCAAAATAGCAAGTCCTGAAATACCTGCTGAGAAAAGTGATTCCCTGATGGGCTCCAGGGATGCTCCAGCCCCCCAGCATCACCCATGGGTGAGTGGGTCCTTTCAGGGCTGGAAAACCCCACTGAGACCCTGGTGCACAAATAAAGATGGAGGTTTTTCAGCTCCCTGTCTTGAAGCCACAGTTTGTGGCTTGGAGTCTGACAGCTGCTGGGGGTTGTGTTTTGGAGAATGGCCCATGTCTGGCTGGCTCAACTGTCCTCCCATCCTCTTTTCTTTGGATATCAAAAGGGAGATATTGCTGATATAAACCCTTCACCTTTCCCAGGAGCCCCGAACTGGGAACTTGTGCCATTCCCAGGGTTAGCTGGGGCCGGTGGAGGCCCTGGCAAGGCGGCGGTGGAGCGGGATGCTCCGTCTGCGGGTGCCTGGTGGCCCTCACCCACGGCGCCTGATCCCAGAGCCTCATCACCAACCACCCCCT